CAGACTGGGAGTAAAAAGAACTCTTTTTCAGGAGTAAAAATGACCCCAAATTCGGAGTTAAATTAGGAGTTAAAATAACCCCAAAAAAGGGGTTATCCTGTACCTAAAATTTTTACTCCATTTTTGGAGTTATAATAACTCCCTAAAAATTACGGTGTAGAGAAAGAACGAATGAAAAAAGAGAAATATATAACAAATGATGAAGCTTCGACCCGTAGCTATTTCGATTCCTAGTTTCACTGGAAGCTACCTGGTTTCAGTATTCTTTTTTTTTACAATTTCCGTTACGCATTAATCCCATAGAAAAAGATCCCTTTTAAACGCCCACACTTATGAGACCCCAACAAATAACTCCTCATATTTTTTAGTGGGTAGAATTTTATGTAATATTATGTTAGGTGAACTAATGGAGTGGAATTCAAATGAAGGTTTCCACCCAGCCCTTCGTTCAGGCAGTTCTCAATTTAGTGTTTTGTAGAATACAATAGATCAAAGTGTATATACCTGCTGATAGTTCCTGCTGATTGAAAAAACGTTGCCGCTTGAAGGTATGGATGGATGGATGGGTTTCTGGGTTGTTGTGGTATCAAAGGGACTGCTTCTAGTTCAGCTTGCATTACTGCACGCCTATTTAAAAGACTCAGTATGCACAAGATTCCACTAGCAGGAACGGTTTCCTGGCGATAGGAGGTAAACGATTGGCCATTGCTGCTTTGGCCAATGCGAGTCACCACCGCTCCAGCTGGGGCAACCACTCTCACATAACTGGCAACAAGCGGGGAATCCCAGCTTATTGTTTCATAAGGTACATTTGGCGTTATTTCGCTGACAAAGAACTTCCTTCTACGTTGCCTCTTCGTCCGCCCAACGTACTCTACAACATCTTCCTCTTCAGTTCTCAAAACTCCAAACTTCACCCAGCGACCTGTGTCTTTGTTCAGATAATATTGATATACAGGAAGGTCATCGGGTAGATCCAACTTTTCAACATCGATGCGAACACTTATGTTTCGGTCAAGGTTCAGCTTATTGCCACTGCTGTCAGAGAAGGACTGCCTTAGCATTCCCGCTGAAGCTAGCATAACCTCCTCTCCATCGTCATCTGTTGTAGAAAAATCTCCTGGGGCTGCAGCCATGTCTTCCTCATTTCTAGGATCAACCACTCCCACGTTAGCTGTAATCTCCCCGTCGTACACCTTCCCATCAGCGGTAACAAAAGCTCTCTCTGGAATGTCAACAGCAGCGAAAGCAGGTTTTGTTGGGGCACTCAAAGGTATTTTCTTTTTCTGAGCGGCTGCAAACTTGATTGCTGGTGGTTTTTTCTGTAGCACGATGGTGTAGAATGAAATTTGTTCTTCATGTAATTCAAACGCCTTAGTGGTGTCTTGCAAGTATCCATAGGGGTCTGTTATGTTCAAAACCATTTTCCTAGATCCCGCCTTGACGGTAAACCTAAAGTTTCCATCCATGTCTTTATAGTACTTATTCGTGTCCCCTTTAACTTCTATTTCACCCATCAACAGTGCTTCACCTTCTTCATCGACTACTCTACCACGAACAACTATATCTGGCAAAGCACAAGACGAGCACTTACAACCTCTAACTTTTTCAATGCTGAATTTTATGCCATTGGCACAACTGACTTGGCTTTTTACTAGCGGGGAAACAGGGCTACAACAACGCTTTATCTTCGCATCCTTTCTTCCACAACTTCCAGAGTCTCCCTGGCCTCGCCTAATGCACTCTTCATAAGAGCAAGTACCAACATCGACAATGTTTTTTCTCCTGCTATCTTCAGTACAACCAGGGGGCAAAGTGACCTCTTTTCTCAGAGGATTAGGGTCACATGAATCATCCCCGCTACCTAGGGTTTAAAGGTAAATTGAATGTTACAAACTTAAATAAAAAAAGTAATGGAATAAACATTTTCGTAGTTGGGAAAGGGAGAGAGGCGGAAATTTAGAGGCGTATGGAAAAGCCGGAATCCGGAATCCGGAACCGGAGCCGGAAACGGAAACGGAAACGGAAACGGAACCGGAACCGGATTGAGACCAGGGTAAACTGGGAAGCACTGAAACCAGTTCCCGATACCCGTCTGGGAATAAAATTCAAGATGGCGTCCTCTGTTATCACTGTTTTGAGAAATTTTCAGCACAGTGATCGTGATAGCAAAGGTATACTCACATTCGGAAAGTGACTTGCAAAAAAAAGATAAGTGCATCCTACTGTTATTCCTAGCAGTCATAAACTGTGACTGCAGCTGTAGGTCGAGCAATTTTCGACAGATCGAGACTACAACTAATCAGAAGCCGATTGACTGCGAAAAACAGCCATTATTAGTATATGATGTTTAAGACCGCTGTGTTATTCATTTCCTTCTCTTGAGCCTAAGTTACTCATTTCTTAAAAGGGGTCCGTGTTTCATTCATTGTGAGGAAAAGGCGGCAAAGGGAGGAGGAGTACTCATGTCAATCATGATCCTAAGTTGCAACGCTCACGCGTATATGAAATTCTCGAAGAAAAATTTTGCGCCGTACGCAAAAAATGCGACAGTAAAAAATATAATAACAATAAATAAATATAATGTGGGGATGAAAAGTCTTGTCTTCGAGCAATAATTGTTAGTGACACTCTTAAGACAGAAACGTCTCCAAGTTTTATTTCTTAGGTTCGGGTTCCGAGTCCGTTTCCGTTTCCGGCTCCGGTTCCGGATTCCGGATTCCGGCGTTTCCATACGCCCGAAATTTAGTCGTATTCGGTTAAGAAAGATCGATTTATTGAAAAACCCCAGTGCTTCATAAGTGGAGTTAAGATCCACTCCGAGGACAGCACACGTACATCAGGAGTACATTGCTTTTCCCAGTAAGTTTTATGGTTGTTTATGTTTATCCATCATGTGGAAGGTAGCCAAAATCCAGGGCATGAAAGGCACAGTATATGAATAGGAAACATCTAGAGCCAACTACTATTCAACTTTAAAGAGGCTTTTTAGAAATAGTTGACTTGTCTTCTGGCACTTTGACATGAAAACAAAGTGTTCAGTCGGTAAATTTAATCAAAAACAAAACGGTTTTGGACTGCATGAACGATCGATTCAGGGCTAGCAGAGATCACGATAAGGGAAAGTTCATTTAATATGACAAGGGGGGGAGGGGGGATGAAGATATTGAGGGGGGGGGGCTCCGAAAATTTTTAGACACCCGAAGGGGGAGCTCTGAAAAAATTGTTGCGCTAGGAGGGGGGCCTCCGAAAATTTGTATACTTCAAAACCAACACATGACATCATCATACAGATCGGATGGTTTTCAACTCAACAATTTAATGACCTGTGCAACTCAGCTATATCACGTGGTTTACAGATATAACAAATGTAGTCTCAGTAATTATTACACTCTTGTTCATCCCAAAAATGCTTTAGAAAATTGTATCACAACTGTATCTCAAGTTTGTCATAGTATAAACCATTGAA